AACGACAACGAGTTTGAAAAGTGGGAAGGGGAGGGGGGCCTCAGCAAAGAAACACAACAATGGCCAAGGAGCCGGGTAAAATGACCGACGACCTCCTCATGATAAGCACTGGCAGATCATGACAAGTCCGACTCAGGGCCAAATCATAATGGACAGTGGAGGAGGTTTGTCCGTGTGGTATTCGGGTGATAGGCAGTAAGTTTCGACAAGCGAGGGACCAATCGGAGTAGTCGCAGACATCATCATTCATGTAGGATGCGGTCCGCCAGCCCTGAGGTCTCCTCGTACCGCGTGCCGAGACCACGTCTAGTTATTGTGCCGAGACTCGGGGTCATCATGCCAAGACGCTTGGCCGTGAGGAGGGAGATTTGTCCGCGGGCGTCCGATGCGGAAGGACCCGAAGATGGAGCGTGGCAACTTCGAATCATAGGAGAAAGGACCCTGAACCCTTGAGATGCCGAGTAGAGTTGATCGACGCTCAGATGACTCCTCATTTCACTCATTTCCTCTTTTCTTTGCGCAATCACTCATCCCCGGTCATCACGGTTCGATCTGCAATTGATGCCGCGCGGAGATTGATGCTATAGAAGCCAAGAACCAAACGCTCCGAATACGGTGTTCTCATTTTAACGCCATTGCAGACCCCCTGCCTCTGCCCTCCGACTCTAACGACGGCCGTTGGTATCATTCAGTACTCAGTACGTGAGGAACATGATCCGCAGCTGCGCCACGGCTCGTCAGACTGTTGATCAGCGCCAAATTAATAAAGCCAAGCGCAAATTAACAGATATGTTGCACAAATCAACATCTGACATGCATGCTCCTCAACAAATCCGGCTAGCAAGCAGGTTGCTCTAGCAATTCTTTTGACGAACGAGGACCCAGTGAAGAGCTTGGCAGTGGGTTCTTCAGAGCCACAATCAGCATTGTATGGCTTATCTACCAAACTCTCTTACGCCAACAGTCAGAGGAGCGCATAAAATAACAGGCTATATGCACATGTTATCAATTATCATGTCTGGAATTAATTAGCCTAATTGTTCGGACTCATTGACACCGAATCCAGGCCTTCAGGCCTACCACTCCTGGTCCGTCACAGGCATATACTGTACCACATAGTATATCCTCGGCGCCGCAAGGAAGCCAGCAGCCAAGATGACTTAGTACCTCCAATTATTAACGAGGGGGGTATTCTACTTTCGTATTGACTGGCTATTCAGCTGGCCAAGTCCTTACGTTGCATATCAGGACGAGGGTGTCGGTGCTAGCCGATGAACAAATGAAGGAACTTCAGATACCGGCTGGTCGTCCGACGGATGGTAATTTCCCCGAAGTTGCAGACATCGAAGGCTGGAACTGGGGTATATAAAGGGTGTCGTTTCCAGTGTAGGAAGGCTATCTCCCAGAACTTATCATCATCATCATCATCATCCTCATCCTCATCATTATCTGTTTTCAAAATCAATCACAATGAAGGTCGGAGATTCCTCCTCGTCTAACCTGGCTATCACCATCACCGTCGAGAAAGATGGCTTCTATGAAGTTAACGGTGCCAGGCAGGAGCCCACTGTTTCCCTGTATATGACAGCCGGAGCATCTAAGCTGCGCCGTATGTTGAGGGAAACAGACGACTTGATCGTCTGCCCTGGTGTGTACGATGGTATCTCTGCTCGAATTGCCATGGGGCTCGGCTTCAAGGCAATGTATATGGTACGTCTTGTCCATACAACGTTCTATATTAACGCTAACCATTCAGACTGGTGCTGGAACTACCGCCTCAAGGCTCGGTATGGCAGATCTTGGATTGGCCCAATTGTATGATATGCGGACCAATGCCGAGATGATTGCCAACCTGGACCCGTTTGGACCCCCATTGATCGCTGACATGGATACTGGTTATGGTGGTACGTTATCTCCGTATCCCCATCTGATTGTCAGACCCCTGATGTAGTCCAGGTCCTTTGATGGTGTCGAAGTCCGTTCAACAGTATATCCAGGCCGGAGTTGCTGGTTTCCACATTGAAGACCAGATTCAGAACAAACGTTGTGGTCATCTAGCTGGAAAGAAGGTCGTCGACCTGGAGGAATACCTCACCCGCATCCGCGCTGCCAAGTTGACCAAGGACAGATTGCGCTCGGATATCGTTCTGATTGCCCGCACCGACGCCTTACAGCAGCATGGGTATGATGAATGTATCCGACGCCTGAAGGCAGCCCGTGACCTCGGTGCAGATGTTGGACTGCTGGAAGGCTTCACCTCCAAAGAGATGGCAAGACAAGCCGTGCAGGATCTGGCACCATGGCCCCTGCTCTTGAACATGGTAGAGAATGGTGCTGGCCCCATCATAACCACCAAGGAAGCACAGGAGATGGGCTTCCGCATTATGATCTTTTCCTTCGCTTGCTTCGCACCAGCGTATCTGGGCATTAAGGCTGCACTGGAAAGACTAAAGAATGAAGGTGTTGTTGGAATTCCGGATGGCTTGGGGCCGAAGAAGCTATTCGAGGTATGTGGATTGATGGACTCAATGAAGATTGATACGGAGGCCGGGGGTAGCGGGTTTACCAACGGTGTTTGAATTTCTTTTGTGTTCTTGTTAATTTCGTTATGCGACTTTGACTGCGTACATCCTTTTACCTGTGCTTTACTTTGTGCCTGTTTTATGTTTTGTATGGCCTTATACAAGCTTTAGATGTCTTTTGATAAGACTTTTGTTCAATGAGATCGACCTTCAGTAACAACCTTCGCACATCATGTTAAAATGGGATTGTGTTCATGTAAGCCTTTATAACTAGTAGTGATCAGGTCATAAGCTGCTTGGAGAGAAATGGTGTGGTGGACTTCCCTAGAGCTACGAAGACTACTACTGACACAACTGGAGGGAACTTGCTCTACGTGACAAGACTAGGTAGACTACGACGTCATTATGTATGTCATACTTACACGCAATCTGCTACGTTGCCGAGTTCATGCACCGAGAAGACCTGCTGGGCTAGTTCCTTGAAGCTGAGCTGGTTATGCAGGACCCGGAACAAACCACCTTGGCAGGAGCAGAGGGTGAGGAGCTGTTTATACGGATACCCAAGGACCTTAGGATGATCAACCTAGATCACTGAGGTTTGGCACAAGGAGAACATCGCCGACTTGGCAATCTAGTGATAGCCTGATCAGCACAGCAAATACAAGCCAAGCAATAGCTGAATATGAATAATTAAGAGCTCAATTGGTAGAAAGCAATCGTCAATCCTAGCATCCGACAAGTATAGATTTATTATCCCCATTTTTCGAGTCATGGCTGCATGAGACTGCCATTTTTTCATCAAAAGGAAGCATGTCAGACTCGCTCAACTCTTGCGTAGGCATGGTCGCAGAAGTGGTGGGAGATTGGTCCTCGTTATATGTTTCGGTTGTCCACACAACCTCCCGTTCCACAACAAAACGTCTCACTAGGGCCACAATTTGCCAGCCCCGGCCAGAGGCTAAGCTGCACACAAAAACATTCACCTTGTGAAACCGCAATGCATCGCATCTGATATGTATTATACGTTTCACCAGGATTGGTGCTGATAAAGAAATAGCAATTCTCCTGTCTTTCTAAGCGTTGCTTGAACTCTTATGCATTGCTCGACCAGTCGACGCAATTTGCGAACTCTTCCTTCCACTTTCGAGGATGAAAATTTGGAGAAGGCCACTTCGACTTTCTCACAAAGCCTGTCGCACATCGCCTGTAGATATTCGAGGCTTAGGGACTGGATAGCTATACTGGTTGCAAATCGCCAGTGGCCTGAAACATATGTTGGGCCTAGGAATATCATTCATGTTAGCTAGGATAATGAAAGGTTTGGAATATGGTGTAAGTGTACACTTCTCTCTTATACGCGAATATATCAGTTGCCATTCTTCGTCCATTGCAAGACTTCGAGCTCCGATGATAAACCAATTGAATACGTAGTCATAAATATGCCAGCTAACGGCAGCCCTAATCAGAGCCCGTCGCTGATGAGCATTCGGCGGCTCATGAAGTGGTGGAAGGGATCCTGTCTTCGTCCTTAGTGAAGCAGCTGTCAGACCACCTAATCGACCTTCATCCCGGAAGTTTGAATTAACCCAAGTATCCAGTGAATGCCCGAGCCTGTTCATGATACGCCTGGCGCAGTCGTCATCTAATGAATTAGGCCGGAATACCATAGTGTTCACTCGTTCTTTTAGCAGATGAATATCGCTATTCTTCTGTGCGGTCTCCATTTCCATCCTCTGCTGCTTTTCCGCTACTAGCTCTTGCAACCGTCGACATCTTTCTTTTAGGCCAATATTCTGCCGTTCTTGTTCGTATAGATCGCGATGGTGGGGCTCCTGCAAGAGCTCTAAAGATCAGTGTATTATTCAAGGCTCAAGGAACGCCCCACATGCCTTTTTGAACATTCAAAGCCACTTGTAGACTGCGGTGAACAAATCCTTATAAATTCAGTCATGCCTTGTTGCAAGTAAAAGATGTGCTTCCCTTCGGAAGGGAGAGAGAATCAGAATAAAAGGCAAACCCAGCCGACTAATCTTTGGGTAGATCCAGCTTACATTCAGATGATATCTTTTAAAAGATATCATGTTCGTCATATCTGCGATTAGGTGACGAAGGAATTTATCATCGGGCAAACTTCCCCTGCTTCACTCTCTTAGTATACGATACTTGCCCCCGCTCTTAAATCTCACCGGCGCAATGTACAATACCATACCACCATGACGAGCAAGCCACAGATTATAGTTGACATCGACTTCAATACAACGTACAGTGGGTGTGTGCCCCATCATGTTGTCACATATAGTATACAATTTAACGATGACAGGATCGCTTGGTCTCTTACTGCAGTGGCCGATGATATCGAAGTGATATCTGAATGGCCAGGTAGAAGGAAACGTATAGCCCTATAGCCTATCCCTATCAAACAAGTTCTAACCTAGGCAGGAACGACTCCTAAAGCGCCGACTACCATTTGTTATGAGGGCGGAAAGGTTCGATGGGGATACGGACTGACGTTCACAAAGGACGTCATCCACGGAGTCAAATTACTGCTTGATGAAAGGCTGAAAACTGATTTCATACCGGTCCTCCTGTCCAAGAAAGTGTTAAGAAACAGAGGATTAAGCCCGGCTGAGGTTGTAGCAGATTATCTGAGAAAGCTAATAGGCCATGGAATGGATATACTCCGCCGCTGATTCGAAGATGCTGTCGAACGTATGGACATACAGTACGTGCTAACAGTTCCAGCTGTGTGGTCAGACAAAGCGAAAGATGGTACTCGGTTGGCGACTTCAGCTGCAGGTTTTCCACTGTCTGATATCTCCCTTGTATCCGAGCCAGAGGCCGCTGCGCTCCACTGCTTAAGTGTAATGAAGCCTAATACCATCCAGGTAAGTCTTAATTAAAATTAGACAGTGACGGGAAATTAACCCTTTATTAATGTAGAGTGGGGATGTTATTGTGGTATGCGACGCTGGTGGTGGAACGGTTGTAAGTGTTGCTCGGCAGGTTAATATGATGTGCAGCATACTGACCTACGTAGGACTTAATATCATATTGTGTAAAGTCTGTTAGTCCACTTTACCTCGAAGAGGTAACCCAAGGCACTGGTATGTGTAGTATATTCCTGACTATTGCTTAGCAGGTTGCTAATTTGCATAGGGGCTGCCTATGGATCGATGTTGCTAGATGCGAAATTTATGACTTTCCTGAAGGCCCTCTTCGGAGACTCCGAATACGAAAAGATCCCAAGGGTATCTATACAGGCTGCGATAAGTTTCTGGCAAGTCACCGTTAAGCCCAACTACTCGTTCGACGAGAATGATGATGATGACAATGACGAGTTCCAAGAGCTCGGGCAGCTCATCCCATTGCCTGGTGTGGGGGATAAACTAGTTATAGGCCTCAAAGGTGGGTTCCTTGCCCTTGACAGGTTAGTACTGGGCTTAATGGACGGAAGTTACTCGTAGCTGATATTATAATTCCCAGGACTACAATTAAAGGATATTTGAATCTGTGGTAGAGAACGTGGTATCCCTTGTGCACTCTCAAACGCGTGATATCGCTCGCTCTGGAGCAAAAGCAAAGGTACTAACCATCTTACCCTCAGAATTCACTAGTAAGACTTACTGACCTAGTAGGCAATTATGCTTGTCGGTGGCTTTGCCGAGTCGGAGTACCTCTATCAGCGACTGAAAGCAGCCTGTCCACTGACCCCTGTCATGCAGCCAACAGATGCGTAGGTGGATTCTCAGTCTTACGTGTGTGAGGATTATATTTTAATTCAATCTACAGATAGTCAGCGGTTGCCCGGTAAATTGCCCCTACAGCTATGGTTGTGTATCATGATACTAAAACTGCGTCAAAAGCTGCGCCGTACAACGAGGCTTGGATGGCAACCGAGTTGTAAAGCGTATTGCACGATGCTAATGCGGAACAAATCACTGGTCACTTTATGACCCTTCTCGTCACAATGCCTCTGAGTCAATCTGGTCGGATATTGAACAGGGTTACTTCGTAAAAGACCGGTTGACATGGTACATCATGAAGGTGCTTAGCCCTAAAAATCTTGATGCGAGGTGGAAACAACATCTAACGTACTGGTGCATGTATAGAATGCTGCAATTTCCGAAAATACGCCAAGAGAACTCCCACTAGTACTATATGTTCGCCCTAATAAGGATTTAAGGGATTGCCAAAGTTTGTTCGTTTGTTACGCTGACATAGCGCCAAACAAGGTCACTGAAGGTTAGTTGGACCGCTTTCTACAGTCTACATTATCTCCAGGGTATAGACTGCTAACCTCGAAGAAAGATGTGTTCAAGTTGTGTAAGATGGAATTTGATCTTAACGATATTCCAACCACGCTTTTTCCAAAGAAAAGGAACTGTAAGGGGTTTGAGTACTATAGAATTGAGATAGTCGCTAAGCTCACACCGACATCGGCGCCACTTTTGTTTGAATTGGATTTTGATGGTGTGCCCTATGGATCGATAACGGTCAGGTATTGAGATTTTGCGAGATTCTATGGCCGTGACGCTACGTATCCCTCTATTCTACTGCGTTTAGTCTTTGCTTTGCTTGATCGTAAAGCCTCTGCAGATTTCAGTATGATAGCTGCAGATTTGCTTCTTATTTTCATGTAGCCCTCTCTCCGCTCTCTCTCTCTCTCTCTCTTAGTGTGTGTCTCTGTATCTTTCAATAAATCGATCTATCATAATCCCATTAACATTTTAGAGCCTAACTATTGAAATGACTAGCTATGTAGGCGCCTCGCCGATGAGACAGAATACCGAAGTACTCTCGGACCAATATATGGGGGACATAATATGTATGAAATAGTTTCCACAACTGATGTGTCTACCACAGCACTCTCTCTGATTTAATCATCCTTCTGTATGCCATCCCCTTCTTCTGTCTACCCTGTAGTTCCATATAGTTAGAACCCCTAGTCCTAGGTTGATCCCCCCCCCCTAGATCCTTGTATCACCGTTTCACCAGAGCTTTTATCGTCTGCTCATGTTAAACAAATTTTATTCTAGGTCCGGTATAACCGAATCTGCTTCGTGGTACTGGCCTAGCGGGATCAATTTGCATGAACTTGGCAACTGAGTGCAGTGGAAACTGCTGAAGAACGTGTCTTGATATCTGAGAGACATCCTTGCAGGGACATTGATTTGCCTCAGCCACTTTGTCTCTGTATCCTTTCTTCTCCCCGTCTCTCCTATATACTCGAACCAAATCACGAGATAGAAACAACATTTATGTAACACATTGCATACGCAACTATCTGCAGCTGGAACCATGATGGAGTCGTTTCAACATGGGATATTGGGTGTCAGCCTTAGCGCAAAAGAATATACATGAATCGAAGTCTTAACCTTCTCCAGGATAGTAGGCGCTACAGAAAGCTGTCCTCAAGACATACACTATCCGAAATTCTCACCGTAGCACCGCTGTCCTTCTCTCAGCACCAGATATAAAAAGTCCTTCAGTCTTAAAACATCCCCAATCCCATTATATCTCTCCCGCCCCACTACAGTCATATTCATCCCCCGTAACCCGCTGCCCTAATATAACAACGACGACCGCTATCAGCGCCATATCCACCCCGGGCGCAACTCTCACTTCCCACTTTGGTCGATATCGCAAGGGACGCTGCGGCCCTTCAGCCAGCTCGGCCGGGTTCGTCACTCGACGAATATGCGCCACGATTTGGTCCCCAAGCACCAAGACCTGGGTTTGGTAGTACGGATCTTCATCGCGGACCTCGAGTATCAGCTCATCGGAATCAGGTAGATAAGCGCCATTATCTGCATCGTAATCGGCATCGATCTTCCCCTTCTCTTTGCGTTTCTTAGAATCCCTCGGTCTCCGCTGCTCAGACACCACAGCATTCCGAAACCTGATAACCGCCTTCGGCGCTCGAACCGCGACCCTCAACTTCGCAGACAATATAACATGTTCCATCTGCCCCGGTAACCTCAATTCCAAGCATGACGAATTATACCACCGACATCGCAACTCGAAAAGCGGCAATCCAGACCGATCATAGAAAATCCGTCGTTGACCAATACTCCATGGATACCCCTGGACCGAAAAGATTGTCTGACCCTCATATTCCACACTATAATCCAAGGAATGCCACGGTTCGGGGCGATTCTTCACCGTCAAGAGTATTTCGGAACGTGATACGCTCTCGGGTCGAAGCGCAATAGGTCTCGGCGGTGGACTTAGACGATACTGTGGAGTTGTGTTGTTGTTGTTGTCATCCATGTCTTTCTCTCTTCCGTGTGTATCATACGTTTATGCAAATGCAGTGAGCAAAGGTAATGGTAATAGATTGTATTGGGTGCCATTTTCCAGGATGTCCAAACCAACAAGTCGTGTGTTCTCTTCTCTGGGTAATATCTGTCTTATCCTGTACCCCCATTCTCGCTATTGTGTATGTGACTTGATTATTCGGTACCCTCCTTATAAGGCGTAAATGCGTTTCTGCCTCGCCACATGCCGTGTCAGAGACGCTGGTTGGTCTTGTTGGTTTTTGGACGGCCGTGATTGGCCGGCTCGCTTGGAGAGTTTGAACCGTGGATTTTGCGTTCCACTGGATGGGGTCTTTCGGCATGGAAAATTAGCTTGGCTTTAGGGGAGCTTGCTGTAGAAAGCCGTGGTTTCCGGTGGATTCTCGAATCAGGATTCCCGGATTGGCTGGAGTGGATGTTCCTGACTCAGTGGTTATGTTGCGCTTTTACTTGATAAGGTAAATGGGGAATTGTCCACATGCTACTAGTTTTCGCCCCAGAAGGGACGAAGAAGGATGCTGGGCTTAGTTTGGTATTTGTGTTCATGTGTCGTATGATAGGTAGCTTCTCGTGTTTAGGCCTTCTGGCTTCTTTTACCTAGTCAAACTGGGTTCCAAGCGTTCTACGGTTGAGGCGCTGCGGGATCATGCGCGGTCAGCAGCCATTAAGTTCTGGATTATGGGGGCTTGGGGCCTTGGGCTTTACGTTGTTAAACTTAGGGGTGTGTTGCTCGATTATTAAGGCGTATAGTATTGTAGGGCCTTGGGGTTGATGATGCTATTCATAGAGTGAAGGGGCGGTCTGAGCTAATTGCGATACTGTTTTGTTCCTTTCGTTTCCTTTTTGTCCCTTTCTATTTCTTTTAATTTTTTTTTTCTATCCCGTCATACTCACTCTTCCGAATAGAGGCTCCCTGAGAGTGGCTATGCTGTCCTAACTTCGATGTAAGTGTCATATCTGGCAAGCTAAGGATTGGATACCTGGCCTGTCATTATGACATATCACGCGCAAGGCCTTGCCTCGGCGATTTTGTTATTAGCTCGTTGGACTAAATCAGTGACAGGTTCAAGAAAATGGTTTACTCAAATGACGTCCCTTTAATTTAATCATTGATATCTGGCAGTATGCATACCTCTAACCTGTCATCAAGGTTGATCACGAGACCGGATACAACCCTCGACAGGGGTTCATATACTTATCCCTATCCCAGCAAGCAAGCAAGCCCTCACCAATACGTCGCCCATTCACTCTTCCCATTAACCACCTTCACAAACTCCTCCGCAATAAACTTATCCGTCGTTTGAGACGGATGCAACTCGTCAAACCACATAAAATTCTCCTCATCCGGTAACCGGACACAATCCTTGCCCTCGGCATTACAATGCTTCACGAACCCCGTTACATTGGCACCGACGTCTCCGAACCAGTCATCCGGATTATAGTAGATATCGGATAACTACCAAAAGTCAGCCTTTTTCTTACCAATACATATCACAAAGGAAGTTATCACAAGGGAAAGAAAAAAAAAAAAAAACGAGGGATACTCACCAACCCATACATATCCATAACCGCAACCCCAGCCCCAGGATACCTATCAGCAACCAACACCTCATAAGGCGTCCTATACCGAAACACCTCATTAACATTAACCACCTGCTCCCACATGCGGTAGCTGATCAAAGTCTGGTTACCAGGCTTATCAGGCCACCAGGAGACAGTCTTCGCGCCCCCGTCCTCCAGCAAAGCATACTGCGGCGTCAACTGCAACGGCGCCAGATTCATCAATACAAAGTACCGTCCGCCGCTTGCATAAATCCGATCCAGAGATTCATATACACACTCCACGTAATCCGAGATCACCTTCCCCTGGACCTGGGAGTCAGTTAGAAAGGCGTAATTGCCTAGATCGTTCGTCCCAATCCAGATCGCATAGACTGTTTCGTCGGCGGGGATGTCGAGGAATCGGTTCCCCTGGGAGTCTACATATTGGCTGTCTGCAAGGAAAGCCGGGATCTCGTATTCCAGAACGGATGGGTAGGGCATGTTCAGGCCAGACATTGTCCGTGGCGTGATTTTGTTCGAGCATGCGCCTCCGCTGACGGCGTAGTTGTGTCGCGTTGCGTTTGTGGCTGTTGCTACATAGTGGCCCCATATGTAGCCGCCTGAGGCGGAGGAGTTGGCCTGTTATGGGTTAGATTGGGCTTTGGAGGTTGGGTTTGGATTAGATTGGGTGTTGGGTGTGTACCTCGGGTTGTTTCCAGCCTACTGGTGGTGCGGATCCGTTGTGGGCGTAGAAGTAGGATACTCGCGTGTCGTCTGTGTAGCTATCGCCGAAGGTGATGAGGTTGTTGAATTCTCGTAGGCCCCATTTCTGGGTAGATTTGGCTAGGGCTACGTCTTTTGTTAAGGCTAGGATGCCTAGGAGGAGTGGGAATGTGTACATTGCGGTTAAGGGTGGCTTGTCAATGACGGTGAGCTCTAGTGCATGACACAATCGGTGGGAGAGATAAATAAATATAGGAAAATACAAAAATACTTTGCTAGATTAGGATACTCAAGCTTTGCGGCGATTGCTCCGGATCTCCGATTTCTTGTTTACAATGCGGGGGAAATGGAAGCCATTACTGGACGGATAAATGCAAGTCTCTACAGAAAGGTAAAGGATCCACAAGTCGGTGAATTGAAAAGTGAGGGGTATATTTTGCTGCATGAATTTATTTACCCACGGAAATTTTATACATCCTGCAAGTTTGACATGGGTCAATGCCGCCCGTCAAACTCATTCACTGTCAACTGTTGGATGCTCCCTTCGATCCACTCCAGTGGTGCCACGAACGCCATCTGGCTCCATGATAATAGCCGGTTTTTGCCACCAAATACCAGCACCTCGAATCTTCCAACGAATCCCTCATTGACCCAAACCCGACTACCGCCGATCATGTCGGTCCGAATAGTGATATGGCTCTGTAATGGGACGGCCACCGGCTCGTGGGATGAGGAGGTCTCGTTCGTCCAAATCCGTCCTGGATAGCTTGGATCGAACCCAGCCGTTTCTTCTATAGAGCGCAGGGGATACTCCCATCCGTCTGAAACAAATGTCAGGTTGCCGTCTGATGACAATGCAAGGGTGGAGTCGTTGGACGACAGGGTAAATGGGCCGGAAACATTTAGAGTCAACTCATAGTTCATCCCCTTGCTGCCGTATCCTAGATAGATCTTGTCGCGGTTTATATTCTCCGAAGGGTTTGTCCAACTTATCAGTTCATGGGCATCCTGATTCTGGCGGAGAATCTGTCGGTCCAAATTCTGAGCCACGGCCTTCGAGGTCAACACGTCCATCGAGTCTGACAAAGTGGATACATTGATGCTGGGTCCACGGTTTCCAGCCCACGCCCTCGCTGCAACAACAGGAATGCCATTGCGGATCGCGTAGTAAGACTCTAACTGTGTCGTTGCATCCGGTCCATTATCATTCCATGCGGCCAAGATGGCACCCTTGACGGGCTTCGGGTCGGGCTGCTCGGTAACGTTCACCGGGTTGAAGAGAGCCGGTGTCCACTGCCATCCATCTCTGTCCGCAAAGTTGAGCACTCTGGAGTTATTGAAAAAATCTGGATACGGGGCCGGGAATATCGGCATGTGATCATTCTTCAACGACATGTAAGCCCACCAGTCCTCTGAGTTGATAATTTCGCAGCCCTGCTCGGCCAAATCGACTGGGTCGGATTGTCCATACTGCCAATGTTGAATAATGACATCTTTTGAGATGTTGCGGGTGTCGGATGGTTCGTATGTTCCCCAGATCCGGATTGTCTTGCCGGCCTTGTCATCCATGAACTCCGCCATCTCGTTCACAAAATCAATATAGTCGTCCGCTAGTGTAGCATCATACTCATCAGCGCCGATATGGACCTCCTTCGTCTGGAACCATGGCAGAAACTCAGTCCAGATGGACTTCACTAGGGGAATGGTCTCCGGATGGGACAGGTTCAAGAGATCTTTGCTGTCTAAGGCCAACTCTGGCTTCCATTTGGTAATAAATAAGCTGTGACCAGGTGCTTCGATCTCTGGGATGACAGTCACGCCTCGTTGCGCACAGTGCCGCTGAAGATCCTCAAAGTCCGCCCGGGAGAGTGTTTCGTTTGGTCTCTGTACGATTCCCTGCAGCTCAGGGCTCTCCGGTCGCAAGGAGAACTGTGCGTAAACATCTTGCCAGGTTTCGTTGTGGCCACGACTTAAGGGGTAGTTGTCGCTCGTATGATACTGAAATTCAGACAGCTTGAAAAACGACGCATAAGTGCATAGGGCCTTGAGGTACGAGGGTGAATACCATTTCCTCCCGGCATCTAGTAAGAACCCTCGCGTTGGAAACGAGGGCGCGTCAACCACCTGACCAGACGGGATGGGATGGTTGTGAGCTATCAACAACTGTTGCAGCAAAGTTCGTGTTCCCCACCACATTCCACGGGCGCCTGAACCGAGGATCGAGACGCGTCCAGGTTGGACCTGGAGCTTGTAGCCCTCTTCGGTGACATCTCCATTTTCATACGTCAATACGCCTTGCGAGCTATCTAGCCTGTCAAGAAAAATGCCCGTTTGTCCGTCGGGCAACTCTTCAACAGGGTGAAGGTTCCATGAGTCGCCTGTTATTTCCTCTAGATCTTGGCGAAAGGTATTTGCAAATTCAATAGCCGACGGAGGAATAAGTGTTAGGCCATTTTCATCTCTGTCTGATGCGAAACTATGGGTGATATAGATATTTCGGTCGATCGTGGCAATGTCAAAACCGCCGTGTTCAGAACCCAAGCTGTTCCATTGAACTGGCGGGAGGGACTGCAAGGCAGAGACTACTGCAATCAGCAAAAGGAAGATAACTGACCACATGGCTGATCTTGTTTGTGAGGAGATCTTGATCTTTGCTACAGGTAAACGTGGGTCTATTATAGCCATAAACAAACCCCGGAAATTCCCCAGACGATCGACGGTTGCATTCCGTGGGGGCGTCTCGACCTGTCGTATTTATTCGACGTTACATTCCGATCGCAACCAAATTCGACACAAATGCTATTGTTCCTTAGAAAGGTGACATTCCTCTCTGCTTGGCCATCTTAGTCATTTCGCGTGCAGTCTTTTGTTGATTGTTAATTGGCTTTGAGAGACTCACTTGGGCGATCAGACCCCCTGTGCTTTTTGCTCCAAAATGCTCCAAAATGCTGTTTGTTATGAGAAAGACCTGCAACAAACTCGGTTATCTCAAGATGTCACTCAGTCTGGTTTAAGATTGGGTGGTGAGAAAAGTCGTGAGAGCAGTAAGCACTGAGCTGTGACAATACAGGTATTCAGATGGTACGACAAGGACGGAAACGGTGACGTAAAAGAAAGACCTCAATATTGAAAGCAATGAGCTCCTTCTCATGATCTTGGGCACGGTTGATTAAGCTCATATATAGGTGACAGTCCTCGTTGATACACATTCTGAATAGTGAATCCTCTCAGCTGCCCCCACGTTCTCGAGTCTCTAATGCAACTAAACTATTCGAGTATAGCGTATAAATCAATCCGCAGGGTAACTCTCGCTAAAAGTTGGAGGCTTTAGACATTTGTATGTTTTTGTATGCATTGCCACACACAGGACGTTCTTCTCGTGTAGTAATACCTGAAGAACACAACTTCTGTTTCCTACTTGTTAGTCACCATGAAGTAGGTTTTTGGAAATCAAGAATTCACCATTATTTATTGACAAGAGAGTATCAATAGGACCGACTGGACTTATAATCATGGATGACTATTTTCATCTCAAAGCATGACATCGACGAATGAAGTGGCAATGTAGAACAATGTCACAGGCTATAGAGCATGGCAACATCCTTGTATGGTGTTGATAATCGGTAAAAGGTAAACATCATTGTAGGCGTTGCTTCCACGTAGTTCCTACAGCGGCCCTTTCGGAGGTGAGGGAGTGAGATCTGGCTGTATGTCCTTTTGTCGTTGTCCACGTTTGAAAATCATGTGAAGACACGACATGGCTATCGTTTCTATAAGCCCAGGTTGCCTTCATGTGTGCTTACCTGATCACTTCCAGAGTTTCACAGTTCCGGTGGTAGAGAAGAGGGTAGAAAGTCAGAGCCTTCCCAAGCCAAGGCACACGGCAGGCTATACAGCGAGGGTGCGCCTGAAATGCTTGATAAGTGGTAGAAATCAGCCACTTGATGTCTAGAACATGACGTTCAGACAATATCCTTCCATACCCCAATCGAAAGGTTTGCTGATGGGAGGTCGAAGGTTGTGCAATCTCCTGACCATGGAGGTAGAGCCGGTGTGGAGTTTCCTCGTCTGAAAAGTGTCAACGACACAGTTATCTGCGGTGTAATTCAGCGCAGTAAGCTTGCTTTCCCGACTAGGTCTCGGTGTATAGCATTTGTAATCATCGGGCCGTTATGGCAAGACAATCGAACGATGTACCCAAGGGTCCACTCGCAGACTCGGTACGTACTGTGCAACAGGCAATAGACGCGGCTCAGAAGTACCATTGTTGCCGGATCACATGAAGAATTTCCCCTGGATCCGGCGGTATGAGGCATGCTGGTGGGTACAGAAAATGTGCGATATAAAGCTAGTCTGATCCTGAGTTCTTGGAACGCGGGGGCAATACCCTTATTGACCGACCCTGAACTGCGGCATTAAATCAATGGCAGCTACAAGATCGACATTGTACGCCCAAATTGGGCTTAGGATTGGAATCCTTAATTAAGAGTAACTTGGCAATGGAGATTCTCGTTGTGTTCTGGTACGGCTGTGCTTTCCGCGGTGGATTGAAAGAGTCTTAGGGAAGGCTTTCCAAGTGGGCGCGCTCCGCTTTCAAGTGCTCTAGACTAAGCACGTTAACCCTCAATTTTTCCCTTTTGGGCAATATCCCCATGTAACGTACCCATCACTACTTTGTCTTAAGAGTTCTTTCTTGTTAATTTAGCGTTGGTTGACCATGTAGGAAAGAGCCTTGATTTCGACCTACATGCCATCCTGTCCAGAACCGGACATTGTAGCACCAGCTACCCCCAGCTTCCTTATTATGTAAGTAGATACTAACAGCAAAACTTGACTCCATCTAGATAGCATGTCTGAACCATATACCATAGCACCATGATATACAGACTGATCTGGATTCCGAGCAGTGCCGTTCCCTTAGCTGCCAAGAGCTACCGATCCGTACTTACAATATCCGAACATCCGGGACAGTTTCATGTCAAGCGGCAGTTAAAACAGAAACTCTTCAAAGTTCACTGCAAGTCACAAATCCCGAGCCTGTAGTAGTCGACCGTTCGATGCGTTTGAAACGGGTATAACCTTAAAAAAGAAAATTTACCACAAAAAGTCTAACAATCCGGTAGGGCTTGGAACCCCTGAAACGCCGTCGATGCCAAGATGTCGCATATACTAGGGACCTGTCCCCACTTTCACGCTCCTTAATTCCTGTGTTAATCCGCTTGACCCCGTTGACTTGGGGCTCTTGGCTTGAGTGTCCATGGAAATGTGTCATAAATGCCATGCAGTGCCACCTATCTCGTGTTAATGTGGGTTGAGCCCGGAATGGAAGGTAGTATTCTTCTCGAACCCTGAACCTTGCTAAGGCTGCTAAGCGTTTCAGGTACGGGATGAGGAATCAGATAGGGCGCCTTTTTCTTAGCTAATGCGTCGGGATTGATCTTCCTCATGACCCCCATCTACTCGAGTGGAGCGCTGAAGATACTTACTTCTATACTATCGGGGGTTATGAGGTGGTTTCGGCGTCGGAATTTTCTCGATCTTAACGTACTTTTCATGTAGCACGATATCTTCTCGCCTTAGATCTGCTAGCCTGTTGTAGCCATGATCTGCCTCAGCTAGGCTAGATCTCGAGACCCCATGGCCGTTTAATTTACCTGATTCTTGCCCAGGAACCCTATACATCACCGTCATTGGCTATCGATGACACTTCCAAGCCCATCATGGGATCCTGCGCCAGATCTATAGCCGCTGGCCCATAGTATCAAGTGCCAGTAGCCAAGACCACCATAGCTCGCAGGATAGATGTATCCATCAGGAACAAATTAATCGATTGGGTAACAATGTAACCATTAGAAAAACCCATTAGCCAACGTGAAACGTGAGGATGAGTAGATTATCTTTGTCAGAGTCATACAATGTATAAAACCAGGCCAGGCACCACGTTCCCAGTGCCTTTTCTTATCCAAGCCATTCATTCCCTCCTTTCTTTTCCTATCTTCTCCCTCCTTTTCTCCGTTCAGGATGTCATTCATTCAACTCGTTCACTTCTTCGGTCTTTTGACCTTGGCTGCTGGCAAGCCGATTCTTATTCCGAGGCAGGCTTCGGGAGCGCCGCAGGGCGGTGCTGGCAACCTGATTGATGTTCAGCTGCAGTCGCTTGGAAACTCAACTATCAAGGCTTTTATCACTAATATTGCCGATGAGAATCTCCGCGTCGTCAAGAGGGGTGGTCTCCTCGATAACGAACTTCCTACTAAGAAGGTGGTTGTATCTGGATCTGGTAAGTTCACTACTGAATGGCTAGTATCTGCATATAAAGATCAACACCAGATGATTAACGAAAAGGAAAAGGGGCCGACCCAACTTTCACTGGTGCCCAAGTAGACTACGTCAACACACATCTGAATGATGACGCCTTCTTGGAGCTCGCCCCTAAGCAAACAATTGAGTCCATCTTCGATATTGCCGACTCCCATGACCTTTCTCCCGGAGAGAAGTACTCCGCCATCGCGGACGGCATGCTCGAATACACAAAGTTGAACAACACCAAGAAATTTTTCGTCATTCCTTACACATCCAACGCCATCGAATTCGATGCTCCTGAGGACTCTGCCAACCGCCTTGCGGCCCGCGCTACCCTCGAATCTTGCAGTGGCGAATACAACCAGCTCATGCAGGATAACCTTGCGCAGGCCGCCAAGATGGCTGAGGCCGCCGCTGCGGATGCGCGCGATGGCAGCAGTGGACTGTTCCAGAAATTCTTCAAGTCCCAGGATGAGGCTGATAAGAAGGAGGTTGCGGAGCGCTTGGAGGCCATTGCTAAGGAAGCAACATCGAAGGGCACATTGACCTACTACTGTCAGCCATCGGCACAGGATTCCTGCGGCGGCAACATTGCGGCTATTACGTACCCAACATTGAACCGTGTTGTCAACTGCCAAGCATACTATGAGACGCAGCAGGTGGTGAACGAGTGTGGATATCTGGATCAGGCAGCTATCTCACTCCATGAATTCTCGCATGCTACTAGCGTCTATGCGCCTGGCACGGATGATGTTGTGTATGGACTTGATGGTGTACTTCAATTGAGCACTGCGCAGGCCAAGAACAACGCTGATTCATTTGCTTACTATGCAAATAGTAAGTACTGTTACCATTGGGCATTTAGGGACTTTGTGCTGACTAGGCTTTTGTAGGTGTTTTCAACAACTGCAGTGCTGATGGTAACCAGAATGGAAACTCTGGTACGCAAATCGGTTCCTCAAATAGTAATGGGGGTGGTCTGAACATCCCTTGGGGACAGGGAACTGGTCAAGGAAATGAACAGGGAGCTAGCCAGGGAGCCGGCCAACAAACCGGTGCCCCAGCCGGAATGGAGAATGGAGGAGGCTTTACCATTCCCTGGGGGCAAGGAATTGGCCAAGGAAACGAACAGGAGGTTAATCAGGGAGCCGGTCAACAGACCAACCAAGGCGCTAGCACTGGTATCGGTGGTATGGCTCCCTGGGGACAGCAAGCTGGCGCCGCAGAAGGTGCTACACAGCCCAACTCCGAATGGCCCGCTGGCTTCGACAACATTCCCTGGTCCTTCAACAACCCCAACCAAGGTGGCCAGTCCAATGATGCTCAGTTTTCCAACGACTGGCAGCCAGTTTCAAATGACTATCAGGAAGTTTCGGCTGCTCCGTCTGGTGCCTTCCCTAACGATATCTTCGGAGCCCCTGAGAGCTCGCAGGGTTTTGAACTTGGTGAAGGAAGCGGTTGGTTCAAGCGGGATCAATAGGTCAAACGATGCACTGTCTGTCCGATGAGATATGGTGACGAAGCATATCAACTGTGGATTCATCTGGGTAGTAACTACTAGAAAGACAATTACAATGAAACAAGCATAGGCAAGCTGTCATCAAACGCAAATTTTTGAGGTACAGAAAACGGCAAAGTAGAAAACAGCAAGAGAGCTAGCGCAAGGCGAACCGCCATCAGAGTTGAGACTCCAGAGAAACAGAAAACAACCAAACAAAAAACACTATTTCTCAGATTCCATTGTAGAGTTGATTTCCAGCGAGCGTAAAGTCTCCCTTGTGAGTATCCTTCGGGTCCACGTGCTCTGCTTTGATGTGGCGCGCGGTCAACGCAAAGCGCAACTTGTTCTCAGGGACAACCTCATGCTAAGCAATTGTCAAGTTTCAATTTATGTGCATAATCTGGTATCCATACCTCATAGTATCTCTGCAGGCTTTCACCATGCATTACAACCATATCTCCGTGGTGAATTTGCAGTTTAATACACGGTTTGGCTTCGCATTGGGTACGGTGGCTCTTGAAAAACTCGTTCCGGCATTGGTCATACTTTGATTGTGTGATCATTCCACGCTCGAACTCAGTTTTCCATGTCTGCCTTTGCAACTGGAACGCGCAGCCTGGAAGCACCGGATCGTTCTCAAGTAGAGTGTTCCTGCTACTTTGCCCCTTGTAGTATTTAGATTTCATGCGGATCTGCATGATAGACCTCGACCCCAGCGATAGTGTCGCGATGGTGGGGCCAAGGGACGTTTCGCCGTCGTCGTGATACTAAAGGCGTTAGCACCAGCTGCATATACCTTTTACCTTCTTCGTTCCCTTCTCCTTCTGGGTGTAAATAACCTCCTCGGTGGATGAAAGATGAGATAGTACTTACCCCGATCTTCATGTCCGCAAAATAACCTAGCACTAGAATTTCGTTTGGCGGATAGGACTTATGCCCAGCCAAATGCACAGTTTTCTCCGTCGCCCATTGCAGACGGCCTAGTGCGTGTAGAACTACCCCAGGAGCCTCATCGAAACCTTTGCAATTCACCGGTGCAACATACTTATATGGGTTCCCCTAAGACAACGTCAGATGAAGTTGACCATATGAATAAGCCCCGGCATGGCAAAACTGACGTAGTTAACTGCAAAGTGCGCAGTAAGTGTGCCAGGAACTATGGAGAGATTCATTAGAAGTGTACCGACAGAAATATGCAATTTCATAAGTAGATAATGCCAACTTACCCACAGCATTACTCAGAGGAAATCTCTGTAACCCAAGGTCAGCCAGCTGCAGTTGTGTAAACATAGTGTTTGGTCCGTTAGGGTGGTCATTTATGTCTCTATTCGACACCAGGTGCGTAATATGACCGACTCTCGGAATGATGTAGACCAGCCTCCTATATGGAGCTAGTGAGTTATCGTCAACCTCCGGAATCATGAACCTGTCATCTGGTATAAAGGCTCGCTTTTGAGGAGCAATTTCGAGGGTATCAATGACAGACCGTAAAGACATGATTGGCATTCGTGTCATCTTCTCAAAAGTGCATAAATGTTGAGGTTGGGTCGCAATAGAGGTACCATCGTCGCTGCACTTCCAGCCTTTCCAAAACTTTCGTGAGATACATTTGCGGCACTGTGGGCATACAATCCCTTTCCAAGCCACTCTACTGGTGGCTACACTTGCGTCATTCTCGTCAAGAGTACTGAGCAAATCTGGTATCAGGCTGTGGTGAGGTTTCATGACGAGGTCCGGGGCCATCCGATAGCTCAGGAACTTTTGGTGATAGGTGAGATTGGCGGGAGCGACCAATCCTTCAATTTTAAAGAAACGGGTGCAGGATGGCTGTAGACACATCCAGCCTTCGTGAAATACCTGGAAGCTCTTGTGGCTACATGCATTGCATTCAGCTGAGGTTGGTCTGCTTGTAAAATCACGTTCTTCAGGAGACGGTGGCGGTAACGACCCTTTGTCTGCCCACCAGCTCTTGCTCTGGAGATCCAACTTCTCATACCGCACCTTCGCAGCTCTACGCTTGCCACTACATTCAAACCAGATGTTCGTGATACGGAAGTAATCCATCACATTATACGGGTGCGGGACCCTTTTTCCCAAGACAGTGTTGTGCTCCCCTATTGTACCATCAAAATTGGCCTTTTCACAATTACGGGCGCAATGTACCTACCGATGATAATTCCGACAGGAACCTTTTGTTCCATGCTGTTTAGGAGACATTTTACCATAAGATCATTCTTTTCTTGGTCCTTGACGTGGACCAAATCGCCGTTCGCATTTCTAGAGCATGAGCCACCTCTTCAAAGAGGTGAGAGGTCTCAGCGTGAGAATGACTGGTGGCAAGTCGAAGCAATTGTACCTACATCCTAGTTATTACCACTTCTTCATCGATATATGAGCGCTCTCCCGAGTCGCGACTAATCAGAACCCCCCAGGCCAGGCCATCTTTATGATATATGCCACCTTGAACGGCTCGAAACCATGGAAGGGTGTCACCTAACTCCGAGCGGAACTTAATCCATTAGTTAGCATGAATATAGGAATAGGGTCCAGCTACTTACATTTGCCCACGCCGGAGGTTCCCCATCAACGGTAGGAGTCAATGGAACTTCAGCCTCTGCGGTAGCCCTCTTCCTCTTAGCAGACATGGTTCTCTTGCACCTGTGTATATTATGTCCTAACACTTTGGATCAATAGTAGAGATAACGAGCTCCTTGGGCATCGGGGCTTCAAGCTTGTCACGATTCAGGTATACAGAAGTATTATAAGTATAGGGGAAATATAGAGATGGGGATATCCATATAATCATTAATTAGGAGGGAGTATCAAACTCTCAGTGCGTTAATCATTCGCCAGTGAGATGATTATGTTACATGCCGAGTCAGAATGATCAATGTCCTGTGGCAGTCTGGCAGTGTGCTTTCCAGGCCTCACCGCCCATACTGCTTGCTTCCTGAGGCCTTGGGGCCGTCAAACTAATTACCTTATTCATTTCAAGATAGCTTGAGTTTATAGCGATATAAATTAGTGTATAAATAGGGTCTATATAAGGCCCTAAATATCTACCCAATAGATAAGCTTTTCAAGTAACTAAATTAGTTTCTTAGTTTATGTCACGGTTCCGATATAAAATCGGTCCGTGAACCGCACGGAGCAGCCATTCTATAGAAATCGGCAGAATAATAATCATGGCACATTGCTTAGTAAATACATCCACCGCTCCACCAAACGATCCCACGAAATCCAGTCAAAGGAGATTTGGTAACTTCATTTGTGTATTGTGAATTTGGATATTCCTTTTCCCAAAGGTCTCAAGGGCAATGAAAGGAAAGCTCCTCCACAGCCTAATATTTAGGCTTTGAATAGTTAGGGGCTTAGTTTCATCATGAGTGGAGCCTTTTGTACCGATTGGGGAAGACCCTCGGCTCATCGAACGATATCCGAGGGCAATCCTACCCTTCACTAATCATTAATCATGTCGAACTACACGGCTTCGACAGGTTGTAAGTTGGATAACAATATTTTCAAGGGATGGAATATGTAGAATTAAATAGTTCGGAATGCCGACATTTGGAGCGGACCGGCTCGACACCATTATTAAAAATGGAATGGATGCATCGAATCGGAAATTGTATGCAGAGGCGTTGGCCGCGGCTCGGTCATTTCTCCGGACTACTACATACAGTTAACGCCTTCAATGCGTAAGAACCATAAAGAGCTTTCCCCGCACTAGGATTGGAGCGACCCCCGGCTTATTATTCCTTATTATTCTTCTCCCCTCACGTCCCATCCGTTTCTTTATTCTTTCACATAGCTCTCTTCTTTGTCTTTTTTTTCTTTGCATAGATCTCCATCGCAATACTGTCCCCTACCAAAATGGTCTTCACTCCGCAGAAAGGAACGGGAGAATTACCCGCAATCCCTGATAGTATCGCTATCAGCGAATTTATGCTCAACGATCAATATGGGAGAAATCCGCTACAAAAGTCGAGAGACCCCTTCACTTGTGGAATTACTGGGAAATCCTACTCAGGAGTCCAGGTGGCGGAGCGAGTCGATTATTTAGCTCGAGCACTAGCGAAGGAGTTCAACTGGGCCCCGAATCAGGGTACGGAATGGGACAAGACACTGGCAGTCTTCAGCGTGAACACGGTACGTTCTGGAAATAAAGTATAGAGAGACCTTCACTTCTAATCACCCCCTCATCCAGATTGATACACTTCCCTTGTCCTGGGCAACCCATCAGTTGGGAGGAGTTGTTTCGCCCGCCAACGCGGCTTATTCTGCGCCCGAACTGAAGCATCAGTTGGTTGATTCCCAAGCGAAAGCTCTATTCACCTGTGTTCCTTTGCTGTCCACTGCCCTGGAGGCGGCGTCCTTGGCTGGATTCCCGAGGGACCGTATCTATCTGCTTGAAGTTCCCGCTCAACTTACCGGTGGCGCAAGCATCCCTGCGCAATACAAGACAGTCTCTCAACTCATTGAGGCAGGGAAATCACTTCCTAAGCTAGAGAGGCTCAACTGGAGCCCTGGAGAGGGTGCTCGCCGAACCGCATTCTTATGTTATTCCAGTGGAACATCTGGTTTACCTGTATGTGTATAGCACAATCAGTTATGGGCCGAGGGATACTGACCATTGATCACAGAAAGGAGTGATGATTTCTCATAAGAACGTTATCGCAAACGTTTTGCAGATCTCCGCTTTCGAGAAGACCCATCGAGATGCCCTCGCCGCACCAGGAGGTCCCCCACATACCGAAGTCGCGCTAGGTCTCCTCCCCCAAAGTCATATCTATGCCTTGGTGGTTATGTGTCATACCGGGCCCTATAGAGGCGACCAGGTGATTGTGTTACCAAAGTTCGAGCTGAAGTCATACCTTGCCGCTATTCAAAACTTCAAAATCGGGTCTCTTTTCTTGGTTCGTACGCCGTCGACTATTGTAGTTTTCAGCTACTAATATATTCGTTAGGTCCCCCCAATCATCATTACCATGCTCCGAAACCACGAGATTTGCAAGAAGTACGACCTCAGCTC